CCATAAAGGTATGAAACTAGAAATCAATTACAAGAAGAAAATTGGAAAAATCATGAATATATGGAAAGTCACCAATATGCTGCTGAACAACCAGTGGGTAAAAGAAGAAATCAAAAGCATAATCAAGAAATATCATGGAAGAAATGAAAATGGAAATATAGCATACTAAAACTTATGAGATGAAGCAAAAGCAATCTAAGAGGGATGTTCATAGCAATAAATGCCTACAACTTTAGGCCATAACTAAACTTTATACCTCAAGGAACTAAAATGAACAAATTAAACCCATATTTATTAGAAGGAAGAAAATAAAGAACAGAGCAAAAATAAAGGAAAAAGAGATTAAAAATACAACAGAAAAAATCAAAGATATTAAGAGCTGATACTTTGAGAAGATTTTAAAAAATAGATTCACAAAAAAAAAAAAAATGAAAAGAGCACTCAGCTAAATAAAATCATTTGTACAAGAGGAAACAGAACTGATGCTACAGAAATACAAAGGTAGTAAGAGACTATTGTGATCAATTGTGTGCCAACAAATTGGACAACCTACCAGACATGGATAAATTTCTAGAAACATACAACCTACCATGACTTAATCTTGAAATAGAAAATCTGAGCAAACCAATTACTAGTAGGGAAATTGAATCAATAATTTGTAACCTCCCAGCAAGTCAATGACCATATGCCTTCACTATTGAATTTTACGAAACAATTAAAGAAGAATCAAGGCCAATCCTTCTCAGACTCTTTCAAAAAATAGAAGAGGAGGGAACACTTCTAAACTCATTATATAAGAGCAGCATTACCCTGATACCAAAACCAGAGAAGAAAAGAAAAATACAGGTCAGTATCCCTAATATTGATGCAAAAACCATCAACAAAATATTAGCAAACTGAGTACAACAGTACATGAAAAGGACCATGATGAAGTGGGATTTTTTTCCAGGGTGCAATGATGGTTTAACAACTACAGATCAGGGTGCCTGCGTGGCTCAGTGGGTTAAAGCCTCTGCCTTCGGCTCAGGTTATGGTCTCGGGGTCCTGGGATGGAGCCCCACATCAGGTCTCTGCTCAGCAGGGGGCCTGCTTCCCCCTCTCTCTCTGCCTGCCTCTCTGCCTACTTGTGATCTCTCTCTCTCTCTCTGTCAAATAAATAAATAAATAATCTTTTAAAAAAATTCACAGATCAATTGATGTGATAGACAACATTAACAAAATAAAGGATAAAAATTATTATATAATCCTCTCAACAGATGCAGAAAAAGCATTTTACAAAATTTAATATCCATTCATTATGAAAATTCTCAACAACATGGATATAGAAGTAATGTACCTAAATATAATAATATATCACAAGCCCACAGCTAACATCATACTCAATGGTGAAAAACTGAAAGTCATCTGTCTAAGATCAGGAACAAAACAAGGAAGCCTACTCTCACCACTTTTATTCAAGATAGTACTAGAAGTCCTAACCAGAGCAATTAGGCAAGAAAAAATAAATAAATAAAACTCACCCAAATCAGAAAAGAAATAAAACTGTCTATTTGCAGATAACATGCTATTATATATAATAAATCCTAAAGACTTCATAAAAAAAAAGTTAGAACTAAGAAATTAGTAAAGTTATAGGATACAAAATCAGTATTTAAAAATCAGTTGCATTTCTATACACCAATTATGAACTATCAGAGAAATTAAGAAAATAATCCCATTTATAATTGCATCAAAAAGAATAAAATACCAAAGAATAAAATTAACCAAGGAAGTGAAAATCCTGTACACTGAAAACTGCAAGACATTGATGAAAAAAATTAAAGACACAAATAAATAGGAAGATATTTCATGGTCATGGATTGAAATAATTAATATTATTAAAGTGTCCATATTTCCCAAAGCAATCTGCATAGTCAGTGCAATTCCTATCAAAATTCCAGTGGCATTTTTTTATGGAAATAGATCAATCATTCCTAATAGAAACACAGAAGACCCCACATATTCAAAGCATTTTGAGAAAGGTGAACAAAGCTGGAGGCATCACACTTCCTGATCAAACTATATTACAAGGGTGTAATAAAGCAATATGGTATTGGCATATAAACAGACACACAGATCAGTGGAACAAAATAGAGTACCCATAAGTAAACCCATGCATATATATATGGTCAATTAATTCATAACAAAGGAACCAAGAATATATAATGGGGAAAGGATAGTGTCTTCAATAAATGGCGGGAAAACTGGACAGTTACATGAAAAAGTATGAAATAGGACCACTACCTTAAACCATACACAAAAATCAACTCAATATAGATTGAGTTGTAATATAATTATCTTACATTATAACATAATGTAAGACCTGGACCCATAAAGTGTTTAGAATAAAACATAGTGGATAAGCTTCTAGACATCAATACTGGTAGTGCTTCTCTGGATTTGGCTCCAAAAGCAAAGATAAATGGGACTATGTCAATCTGAAAACCTGTGCAACAAAGGAAGCCATCAACAAAATGAAAAGGCAACCTATGAAATGGAAGAAAATACTCACAAATTATATATCTGATAAGTTAATATCCAAAATGTATGAAGAACCCCTACCACTCAGTAGAAAAAAAAAATCCAATTAAAAAATAGACAAAATATCTGAATAGACATTTTTCCAAGTAAGGCATCAAAATGGCCAACAGGTATGTGAAAAGATGCTAAATATCACTAATCCTCAGGTAAATGGAAATCAAAACTGCAGTGGGGTACCACTTTACATCTGTTAGAATGACTATTATCAAAAAGATGATAACAAGAAGATACATAGAAAAGGGAACCCTTGTGTACTGTTAGGGAATGTAAATCAGTTAAGTCACTATGCAAAAGAGTATGGGAGTTGCTCAAAAACTTAAAAATAGAACTACCATATGATCCAGCATTTCCATCTGTGCATCTATCCAGAGGAAATGAAATCACTGTTTTGAAAAGATATGAGTACCCCTGTGTTCATTGTGGCATTATTTACAATAACCAACACATGGAACAACCTATGTCTCCTAACAGATGAATGGATAAAGAAACTATGATATGTATGTGCAATGGAATATTATTGAACAATAAAAATGAAGGAAATCCTGCCTCTTGCACCAAACATATATGGGACCTGAGTATATTATGCTAAATGAAATAAAGCAGACAGAGAAGGTCAAATACTTTATTATCTCACATGTGTGTGGAATCTAAAAATAACCAAACTCATAAATACAGAAAATAGATTATTGGCTGCCTGAGGCAGGCATTGCAGAGTAGGTGAAATGGGAGAAGGTAGTCAAAAACACAAACTTCCACTTACGAGTTAAATAAATCTTAGGGATATAATGTCAGCATGGTGACAATTAATAGTAAGGAGGTAAAGGAATGAATAAATGGGTTATGTATTATACTGCTGTATTATATATTTGAAAGTTTCTAAGTAGATTGCAAGAGTTCTCATTACAAGAAAAAAAATTAGTCACTGTGTAGTGATGAATGTTAACTAAACTTATTATGGTAATCCTTTCACAATATATAAACATATTACATCATTTTTGTACACTAAAACTAATACAATATTATTTTTCAATTGTTTCTCTATTAAAAAGAATATGAAAATTTTAAAATAAATAACTGTTGACTCTTTGTGAATAGAACACAAGAAAAAAACAATAAAATATGACAATTTTATATTATTTCAGAAAGTTAAAGTAGTTAAAGTATAAAATCATTCTGGGGCACCTGGGTGGCTCAGTGGGTTAAAGCCTCTGCCTTCGGCTCAGGTCATGGTCTCAGGATTCTGGGATCGAGCCCCGTATTGGGCTCTCTGCTCAGCAGGGACCCTGCTTCCTCCTCTCTCTCTCTGCCTGCCTCTCTGCCTACTTGTGATCTGTCTGTCAAATAAATAAACAAATTAAAATCTTTAAAATAAAATAAAATAAAATCATTTCCAGAAAAAAGTTTTGGGAAAAAGTTCTTACACGACTTTTAAAATCTTAGTTGTAAAATTTTAGAAATAGACTAATCTCTTTGTTTTCAGATGATGAAAATGAGATGTTACCAGGTAAAAGAAACATAGCCAATTATTGGTAGAGTATGATTCCAACTCTTATACGAAATCTAGGCCTTCAGCTCTTGACTCCTGTTCATCCAGTGCTTTTTTACTGTTTATGTTTCTTATTTAACCACTTGTTTTTTTTGTTTTGTTTTGTTTTGTTTTGTTTTGTTTTGTTCTAACCCCTTGGTTTAAAAGTATCTTGGAAATTTTCAGTGATCCCTGAAAGACCTTTCTTCTTTTACTTGTCCATGTTCTTCAATGGCTCTTTCAGCAGCTAAGCTCTCCAAACTCTTCCCACCGCCATTCATTTGTGAGAAACTTTATTTTACTTTTAAATTTACATCCTTTTCTGAGAAGCAAGAGCTCAAATGTAAGTCTCACTCAACTCTTGATTGCTTTTTGTGTTAGAATTTTGAACATAAATGTGACTGCGCTAGACATTTTTAATACATTTATCTCATTGAAATCTTAGAACTATATGAGATACGAAGAAACTAAATTTGAGAAAGAAGATGTTTTGACCATTATTTCTTTAAATTGGCTAATTTATTCTTTTTTCATGTTCAGTACATTTTTCCAATCTACCACTAACCATTATTGTAAAAACCTCAGCCAGAATGCCCAATTTGTATAGCAATTGGTGAATCTCTAGTTGTAACAATCTTTTTTTAATTTAATTTTATTTTTTCAGTGTTCCAAGATTCATTGCTTATGCACCACAGCCAGTGCTCCATGCTATACCTGCCCTCCTTAATGCCCACCACCAGGCTAACCCAACCCCCTACCCCCCTCCCCTAGTTGTAACAATTTTATTCTAAAACAGTTGTTCGCATGTAAATACAATGATTGATCTTTGTTGTTGAATGTATTTAAACCAACCATTCATTGCAATTTAGTATTCATCCATTCTCTTTCCTTTCAGGCCTGTATGTGGAATCAGAGGGAAAACTCTCATAATTAACCTGCCAGGTAGCAAGAAAGGATCTCAGGTAAGCAACCTTGAGATTTATATGATTTAGTGTAAAGTTTTACCAACTATGAGAGTTAGTCAACCAAAATGTTAGAGGACTCCATGAGACTGCCCTCACTAGTGTCTGATACCAGTTGCAATTTAGTGCATTCCCAAAAACCACCCTCAGTTTCAGTAATTCACCAGAAAGACTCACAGAACTCACCAAAGGATATTAAGCTGACAGTTATGCTTTATGACACAGAATGGATACAGATTAAAGTTAACCAAGATTGGAAGAGAGGTGAATGCATTACTCTCTTGGCATCAGTGTATAACAGCTCAGGGAGTATTGCCAATCAGGGAAGCTCCAAGCCTTCAGTGTTCAGAGTTTTTGCTGGGGCTCATCACATGCTGCCCATAAGGCTGGCCTTTAGTCTCTAGCCCTTTCCAAAGGTTAGGCTCTTTCCTTTATTCCCCAGCACTTTCCAGAAGCAAAACAGACACCAAAATGCCCAATGCCCTCATCATAAATCACGTTGTTACACTGTTTGGTAGCCCAAGTTGCCAGGCAACAAAGACATTTCTATCACATCCCAGTAAATGAAAGCAAAGGCCAAACTCTCTGGGGTAAGGTTAATTTTTCATTACATAAGTTATCCCCTGGCTTTGGCCAAAGTTCTCTTACAGAAAAATGATTGTATTTGTCTGGCTGGGCATCTATATTTACTACAGCATTTATATTACAGATATAACACCAGTATCAGTGTGAATATATCTAAGATTTAGAGGATTCAGTGTGGGATAGGGATAAATTTGAGAAATAGGTAATTTATCCTTTAAAACCATTATACATATTTCATATTTTTATACTAATATACTAATTTTTTACCTTGATCTACTATTTTTGTCCTATGATACAATTCCACAGAACTATTTACCACAGACATTAGCTGTCTTGTTTAGGCCATTTTCCATTGCTATTACATTTTGAGGAGGATTTAACTCAATTTCCCAATAAATATGATCATCAATATCAATATTATAATCTTACTAGCAATGACAGTATTATAACATTTCACAGTAGAGTTGTGGATATAACCTGAAATATGAGTGAAAAGGTAACTGGCACACTATTAGAGTCCTACATAGACATTAACAGTTAGCCTAGTCTATCATTATATCATATGATCAAAATGTCTCCCAGAGCTATGCTATTCAGGTTTATGGGCTTGTCAGATTCCCAAAGTAGGAATAGTCTCACCAACATATGACTTTAACCTTTCTGGCATCTGTTACAACTGAGCTAAGAAACAATATCCTCTCTTGTTCTAAGGATTTTGAGACACCAATATAGTTGATCTCCCTCGTTACATAACCCATTTATTCATTCCTTTACCTCCAGTTACCATTCCTCCTTCTTTCCATTTATACTCAGACTTTTCCTTTAAAATCTTTTGATGAGACAGTTGATTTGGCCACTGTGCTGGTCTGGATTGCCACCAGTAATACTTGTTTAACAAGTGCCACCTGCTTAGTCCTTTTCCATTCATACAAGATAGGGTTGCTAGTGAGCAGTCTCAAACATCAGGTGATATAACTGCATTCACTGTCAATCCCAATTTGGCCAGATGGAGTCAGGCATAATCTACCCCATCAGGCCCTAGGAACTCTGACAGAAAGGTTTAAAGGTATAGTTAGTAGTTTCTGCTTAAGAATCATCCTGCTCTGGGATGCACAGTTGCAGCCCTGATCTTTGTACTATAGCGTCAGGTAGAAAAAAAAGTTGGTGTGATATGATAAAAGAAAAAGTATAGTCCTAAAGAAAAAGTGTAGTCATACCAGCAATGTGTCCCAGCCCCCTCTTCCCTAGAAAGGTAGAGGACTATATTTAGTGGAGACCCTCCCTCAGCCTCCCCCTTGTTGAATGTGACCACACACTAATGGTCACTAATGAAAGCATATAAGCCATGCTCCTCCGTTTTTAGACAACAAACGTTTCCATAGTCCATTCCAATTTTCTATCAGATCATTGCTCTGAATATGAAAGTGTGTACTTTGGTCTAAAGGAATGTGACTCTGCAGTCATTGGTACAATATTTTCTGTTCTAGTCCTTTTATAGTATACTGAGTATTTGCATCTACCATTGAGTAAGCAAAGCCCAGTCCAAAGTAAATGTCTATTCCTGTTAGGATTCATTTGTAGCCTCAAGGGACTAGCAGCATCAGTCCAACTTGCTAGCTATGTGCAGGACTTTCCCCTATGGAATATGCTGCATAACCTTCTGCTGTCTGCCTTTTTTGTTAGCAGATAGAACAGTTCTTGTTGGCATTTAGTGCCTCAATGGGTGCAAGAAGAATAAATCAATTTAGCCCATATCTGCATTGTTGCAGCCCCCCATTGCCCACTCATCTCATGGGCCCAGGTGCCATGTCAAGCATGCATACTGGGATATCTGCTCACCAGTTCCAATTAACTTCCGTTTCTGAAAGGGTGTTCTTCTGATGGGCATTGATGTATCCTACTTAAACATACCCCTTACATTCCCAGAGTGACTTCCATAGGCTATGCCCCATACAAGCATCCATTTGGTAAACCAATTTTCCATTGCCCTTCTGCCTGACCATATGGCCAGGCCACTGAACACTTCTTATGAGTTGGTAAAAACCCAAACATAGGGGCAAACATCATGCAGTTCAGCCTATCGAGCTGATTTGTTTTTACCTTCTTCAATCAGAGTGGCGGCCTTCCAAACAGGATGCTGTCCCTTCATCTTGGAATTGCCATCCATAAACCAAGCAGCTCTTTGTTGATCAGTAGAAAGCTGTTTATAGGGCACCGCCCAAGTGGCCCAAGTGGCCATAGGATCCAGCAGCTCCTCAGGTGGTTCCGAAGTCGGCCCTAGGTGAAAAGAGGCTACCTGCTCGTGAGTACCTCCTTGCATTCTCCTGGTAGCATGATCCTATATGCACCATTTCCATTTTATTATGGAATTCTCTTGGGCATTGCCTTCCCCATTAGAGCACTTCTCTGATATTCCCAAGACATTATGGATATTTCAGTTTTCAAGATTATTTTATGTTCTTCAGTCATAAGGGTAGTCTCAAAGTCCAATAGCAAGCTAGTAATTTTCTCTCAAATGGAAATTTTCTGGCCCAAAGTCCCAGCAGTTGTTGCTAGGTGGCACTCACAGATTTCTTCCGTGAACCCAGTTTGCACTCCACACAGTTCTGTTGTACACCAAATTAATGATCTGTGTAGACTCAGGCAATATTATTTATTCCCACTTAACATGTATTATGTATACTGGTGGAAGAGTGGGTTTATATGCTTTCTATTTTACAATATGAGGTAAAGGAAGAATTGTCTAGTCAAACACAATATCCATCCCCATAATACAATCAGGTAAAGGAGACTGATCACTTCATATGAAGTTCACTGTCCAGACATTCTAATTTTCATCCCAACTTTCACTATAATAACATCGACTGTTGCATCCCTGTACCCTTTCAGTCTAACTGTACCTCCCATTAGAACTTCAACAGGTATTTACACGCTGGATCCCATGTTGAGAAATCCCAGAAAAGTAACTTCTCCATCCCATGGCCATTTTATCCATTTATGTGCATATGGCCTTGGATTTCTAGGCAGGGTTTGTACCAAGGGTTTCACACTCTTTTGTCAGGCCTTATCTTGATTAGATTATGGGACCATCACTTAAGGTGATTCAAGATGAGGTTTCTTTTAGTTATCTTTGCCTTCCTTTGCCTTTTAAAATTCCTTCAAACTAGGGTAAATAGAGATTGTTTAGGACCCTTCAATGTTGGGAGACCAGCTCCCATCTGTCTGCTCAACCCATAATGCTGCTTAACACCTTTCTTTTGCCCCCAGCAATGCCCACTTTATTCATTCATTTCTTAATTATTATTTAAATATTTCTACCCTTATAGGACAGGTCTCTTGAATCTTTCATTTCTTTACTCCATTCTCTTAGGAATAAGTCTAACTTTATTCACTATTAATCATTTCCGCATAACATTTTTTTTGGAAGCAGCTCAGGGAGCGGCAGCTATATGTTAGATCAGCCAAAATCTAAGCTTGGCACAACCTCAGGATTCACCCCAACATTCTTCCTTTTGTTTTAGCTAGTGCAAATAACAATAACTAAGAGATTATAAATTTACCTTTTTTCTTTATGCATCCACTGACATACCTTAAAAGTTTGATCTGTCATTTCAAAATTCCATTGCTAACTTCTATCACCAATAATTAATCACAGCACAGCTGCAGTTGCATTCTGTGGGTGACCCTGTGTTTATCCAAGCTCTAAAGATTAACCATCCCCACCCTGTCTTCCTTTCTCTGCCCACATGATTTTTCATGATCACATGAGTCAGGATCTTTCTAGTGAGTCACACTTCTAACACCAACTGTAAGGATTTTGGGCCAACTGTAAAAGTTAGCCAACTATAAAGTTGGAGCACTCCACAAGACTTCCTTCACTCTGGACACCAACTTACAATTTAGAGGGTTTCTAAAACCACCCTCAATTTTAATAATTAACAAGAAGGACTTACAGAACTCACTGAAAACTGTTGTACTTACTGTTGTGGTGTATTGCAGGGAAAGAATACAGACTGAAACCAGCCAAGAGAAGAAGCACATAGGGCAAATCCTGAGAGGTACTAAATGAGGAACTTCTAATCATCCTCTGCCATGGAGCCAGGGACAGCATTACCTCTTCTTGACCATAAAAGAGATAATACAGAATATCACTAACTAGGCACACTTACCTTTGCCTTTGATGTCCAGTGTTCTTATTGAGACTTGATCACATATTACCCATATGGTTGACCTTTAGTCTAATCCTTCCCAGAGGGGAAACTTAGGCCTTTAATCCCCAGTTCCTTCCAGAGGCAAAACTAATATCTTGTTTCCCAAAGTCCTCATAATAATCCACATTGTTAGATTGTCCAGTGGCCAAATCTCAGGCAAACAAAGACACTCCTTTTAGGCAAGACCAGGAACTAGAGTTCACCTCCCAAAAGCTGAAAGTAAAGGCCAGAGTTCTTGTTGGTCAAGATTAAATTCTTTGCTATATAATCTTTATTACTAAAATGATTGAGCTATATAAAGAGAGTCAAAAGATCAGGTACCCTTATAGGAATTCCCATAACCCTCTGTAAATTTTAAGATATTTCTTTACATCTTAAATTTTAAGGTAAGTTACTTTAAATGTAAAAAAGAAAGACCTGTGCTTGAACACATTCCAAAAACATCTCTGGCCCTATGTTCTGATTTTAAAGTTCTCACCTATTCTCTTTTAGTGATACGTTATAGGTTATATTGGGCACTTGAGCAGGAAACTATGTTAATTTTTATGTAGTGCTCTATACAAACATTTTTTGTATATTACACAATGTTGCCTAGCTATATTTTATGATAATAGTCAGAACTTTAGCTCGCTGAATAAAATAAGTCAGTCCTCAATTGATTTGTGAATTCTAGTGTTCTGCTTTAACTAGAAAGGTGAAACTGTTTCCTGCCTTTCCCATGATGTATTAAAACCTGAAGTTGTATAGAAATTTTACTTTAAGAAAAATATACTATATGCTTATATAGTACTCTAGTTCTACAGCTTACAGAGAATACTATGTACCATGTTTACTTCATATTTCACATTGCAAAGATTATATTTTCAATATTATTCATTCTTAAGATAGATGGAGAGAAATATAGATCCCAAATCACAAGTAAGTTGACTGTTACCATTTTATATGCCTATAAACGTGCTTTATCTTCATTTTTTTTCTTCCTCTTACATACAGGAATGCTTTCAGTTTATACTGCCAGCTCTACCTCATGCCATTGACCTTTTACGTGATGCCATTGTAAAAGTAAAGGAAGTTCATGATGAACTTGAAGATTTACCTTCCCCACCACCTCCTCTGTCCCCTCCTCCCACAACTAGCCCACATAAACAGACAGAAGACAAAGGGGTTCAATGTGAGGAAGAGGAAGAAGAGAAGAAAGACAGTGGTGTTGCTTCAACAGAAGATAGTTCTTCATCACATATAACTGCAGCAGCCATTGCTGCCAAGGTAAGCCTGCTGACAGAGACCCAAAGATCTAAAGGAACCGCAGGTAAATGTACTGATTTCATCCCTCTTTCCATCCAGTTTTCTTCTTGAGTTCAGTTCCTCTTCAGGGCATCCTTAGAAAAGAATCAGGATATTCATGACACTCATAGCTATGTGCCCTCCATAATGTAGAGTCCTTGAAAGCATTGAAGTTTGTTCTTGGTTATGAGACATTAAAGATATTGCTGTTACTTATTGAAGTAATAGGTAAATAGGTAAAATGTGACATTTAAGAACTCTTTGGAAATGTCATTTTTGTGGTCATATTAAATATACAACTTTCATATATTTAAAACATCAAATATTCACAAATTCATAAAGGAGCTGCAGACTGAAGGTAAGAGACCTTAGATGATTCAAAAAATTAGTTGAGAAAGAGTAGTATTTTTTTAAGATGGGTTTTTCAGCAGTTAACACTTCTTTAAATTTTACTTGACCCAAATTACCCTAGTGATATAAAGAGGAAATAGATATAATGTATTCACATTTTTTATTCAATAAAGTAGTAAATATTATTAGAATAGTACCGAAGTATTACAGATTCTCTTTGGGCGATTTTGGTAGTAAATAGAGTACAATACGGTACTTGCATAAATTTAATCACTTTATTCATAAAACATCACTTACATTATTATTCATACCTAGTATAATCTACCCAGTATACTTAAAAATCTTCGGAAAATAACATATCGTTGCTGGGACTAATGATCGTTCATTGAGAACACAAGATTGAAAACCAAATGAAGGAATTCCTAAAGTTTTAGGTTATCACCCAGATATTTTGGCTATGAGGATAACTTGAGAGGAATTTTGACAACACATAGATTAGAAAGGATCGTAGAGATCTTTTTAAGGTGTCCTTTTAGACAACCAATAATTCTTTCACTGAAGACCAAATGATTTCATCTCCAGATCTGCTCAGTTGGTCCATTAAATGTTACGTAAGGAAAGTAAATGTTTTAATTGCATGTGATTTTTGTTTTGTTTTGTTACATTTTGTTTTTATGGAACTGATTGGTTAAATACATACATTTTAAAATCATTATATCTTCTCTTTTACTGTTAATTAAGAGTAAAAAGTACCATCAATTTCAATCTTAAGAAAAAGCTTACAATATTTGAAATCTAAGCTGATATTGTCATACTACATTTGAAAAATTTTGGCATTTCATTGTTTCATTTGTTTTCACCCTTTTCCTTTCTAGTCATTTTGCTTGTATAGTTTCATGTCTTCCTGTCACTGTATTCATAGTTGTTATGTGTTGTGCATTAGAAGCATCCATTCTACACCAGTCCAGCTGTTATCATGGCACACGGTGAGCAGCCCATTCCTGGTCTCATCACTTATTCCCATCATGCAACAGGCAGTACAGACGAACGGGTAAGACAATAGGCTTTTGCACTCATGGTTTTGCAAGCATACAGCCTACCTTGTTTCCTTGGAAGATAGGCTATAACATATTATGGAAGATGTGTTTTATTCTGAAAGGTCTTCAGCATGCTTTTTTTCTAAAGAGTAAGTGCCACTGAGCCTATTCCATCAAGGAATTTAATAGAGTTTCTCCTATACCTGAAATACTCTAATATCGTTAAGATTCTTAAAATACAAACAAATTGGTCAAATTAATATTTAATTTCTGTTAACCTTGCTTTTTGCCTCATGATTTTTCATCTTACTTTCTTTTCCTTCATTATGTTCTCATTAAAACCATTTAGAGAATTGAGTCTTCATACAACTTCTGAGATACATACAGAATCTGAGATTCTGAGAAGATTCATACAATGAATCTTCTAATAAAAACTTGTAAAAATACATATCACTTGTTTTAGTCACTGGCTGAATGATAGTTTGTAAAAAGTTCCAGGCTAGAAAAGATCAAACTGATAAGTATAACTGACTAAACAGTAATAATTTAGATGATGGATGCCAAAAATCTATCTCAGTCCCTAATATGGTTATAAAGTGAGAGGCAGTTGGTTAAGCTTCTGTTCTTGATTCTGATCATGATCCCAGGATCCTAGGATCAAGCCCTGCATCAGGCTCTCTACTCAGCTGGGGGTCTGCTTCTCCTCTCCCTCTGTCCCTACTCCTTCTCTCTTTCTCTCTCAATGCTCTCTCTCTAATAAATCAAATCTTTAAAAAAAAATAAAATGAGAGGCAAAAAAAGGAGTAATAAAGTGAAATTTGGCTTAAAATCCTTAGGGAGATCCAATTAAAAAAGGAATAGAAGGCATGAACAAACGTTTCTATAAAGAAGACATCCAGATGTCCAACAGACACATGAAAAGATGATCAACATCACTTATCATCCAGGGAGTGCAAATCAAAACTGCAATGAGATACCACCTCACACCTGTCAGTATGACTAAAATCAATAACATAGGAAACAAGTGTTGGCAAGGAAGTGGAGAAAGAGGAACCCTCATGCACTACTGGTAGGAATGCAAACTAGTACAGCCACTCTGGAAAACAATATGGAGTTTTCTGAAAAAGTTAATTAGAATTACCCTACAAACCAAGAATTGTTCTACTGGGTGTTTACCCCCAAAATACAAAACACTGAATCAAAGGGAGACATGCACCCCTATGTTTATAGCAGCATTATTTAGAACAGCCAAATTATGGAAGCAGCCCAGATGTCCATGAACTGATGAATGGGAAAAAAAGATGTGATATGCATGTAAAATGGAGTATTATTCAGCCATAAAGAAGAATGAAATCTTGCCATTTAAATGACATGAATGAAACTAGAGAGTATAATGCTAAGCAAAACAAGTTAGACAAATACCATCTTATTTTATTCACATGTGGAATTGGAAACAAAGCAAATGAGCAAAGGAAAAAAGAGTTTTGTTGGCATTTGGGATTTACCTGTGGTTGCAACACAAAGATAACTGTGGCCTGAAGCAAGTGCTTAAAAATATGCTCCTTCAACAGTGTGGTTTACCTGGTCCTATCAGTTGAATTCATTGGGCATCTCAGTGGATGAATGATCTCTAAACCCGTTAATAATTTGTTGAAAGTAAAATCGTAACTTTATTACAAATACTAAATGAATACATATCCAAGGTATTATGTCTTACATTAATTATTGAGGGTACCAGAAAGATACTACAACTGCTTCACAGGAAAGCTCAAATACAAATATATAAGCATTAAGAATGTAGAAATGGAAAAAAAAAAAAGAATGTAGAAATGAATTTACAAATATTAATCTCATTATTACTTAATGGTTAAGTTATGAATATTCTAATAGAAAAAGGGATGTAAAAGTACTTAATGCAGTACCTGAATAAAAGTAAATATTTGTTATTTTAGGTGGTTGATCACCTCACTGATCCTAACTCAACTTTCAGATGTTACTGATATAATTCCTCCTTCACACCTCCTCTTTCCTTTGCCCAGTTGAACAATCCTTTCTTCTTCTTATTCAGCCTTTAGGCTCCCTATAAGGCCTACCTCCATGGTTATTACATTTTTATAGGTGGTGACCTCCTTTGGAAATGGGATTAATGCTTGTTCTCCTCTCTAAAGGCTCATACATACAACTGTTGAGTTCATTTGCAAGGCCTGTTCCTTAGATTAATTTTTATGCCACAAGAAACAACAAGTGTTGGCAAGGACATGGAGAAAAGGGAACCTTCTTGCACTGTTTGGGAATGCAAACTGGAGCAGCCACTCTGGAAAACAGTATGGAGGTTCCTCAAGAAGTGAAAAAATAGAGCTACCCTACAATCCAGCAGTTGCTATACTACCCTATAATCCAAAAAATTAAAAAATATTGATTTAAATGATATATGCACCCCAATGTTTATAGCAGCATTATCTACAATAACTAAACTATGGAAACAGCCTGAGTGTCCATCGATTAATGAATGGATAAAGAAATACATTATTTACCCATTAAAAAGAAAGAAATCTTGCACTTACAATGATATGGATCGAGCTAGAGAGTATTATGCTAAGCACAATAAGTCAGAGAAAGACAAATACAATATAATTCACTCGTGTGGAATTTAAGAAACAAAACAAATGAGCTAAGGGGAGAAAAAAGAGAGAGAGAGAGATGCAAATCAAGAAACAGACTCTTAACTATAAAGAATAAACTAATGGTTACCAAAGGGGAGGTGGGTTGGGGATGGGTAAAATGGGTGATGGGGATTAAGGAATGCACTTATCAAGAGGAGCACCAGGTATGGTATGGAAGTGTTGAATCACTGTCTTGTATACCTGAGACGAATATTACACTGTATGTTAGCTAACTAGAATTTAAATAAAGGCTTTAAAGGATAAAAAAATTTTAAAAATTAAAAAAAAATTCTTGTGCTACCTAAAGTCCAGCCTTCTCCCTAAAGCCTTTCATAAATCCAATCTATATTTATCTTTGCTTTCATTTTGTATTACATTCATTCACCAAATATTTGTTTTGGTATATATAGACATATAGATATATACACATATATATACATTTATATGTCACTCTGCTAAATGCCATGAGTTTTTAAATGATCATACATGATTTAGGCCCTGCCCTTGAGGAATTCACTGTGTAATACAAAAAAAAAAAATTCTTAAATGAACTAGTTTTATAAGTGTATCATAACTGTTGGTAGTCTCATGAGATTAAAAAAAAAAAAAAACTAGTCTTATTATTCCAGATTTTATTTTAAGAAATCCTGTGAAATTTATCAGTGGCTATTTTGAAATTACTTGGCATGATAAATTCCCAGGAAACAACCTAGTTTAATCCACCATCATCTTTCATCTCCATTATTTCAGTGGTTAGTCTCATCAGTTCCACTTTAGCCTCTCTTCAGTTTACTCTTCTCAAAGCCAGAGTCAGCTTTTTAGAACATAAAGTAAATCATGTCACTTTTCTACTTGAAACTTTCAATGATTCTTGCTACATTTAAAATACAACTAAAACTCCTTGACATGTTCTGCTAGATTCTACATGATG